AGCAGTGATACTGGCCCGTAGTTTTCCTTCTTTGTGTTGTCCTTGCCTGGTTTTGGGATCAGGGTGATGTTAGCTTCATAGAATGTGTTAGGGAGTGCTCCATCTTCCTCAATTTTCTGGAATAGTTTGAGAAGGATGGGTATTAAATTCTTCTTTGAATGTTTAGTAGAATTCTCCAGAGAGGCCATCTGGTCCTGGAATTTTATATTTGGGGAGGTTTTTGATTACTGTTTCAATTTCTTTGCTTGTGATTGGTCTACTCAGATTCTCTATTTCTTCCTGCTTCAGTTTTGGGAGGTTGTAAGAGTTTAAGAATTTATCCATTTCTTCTAGGTTGTCCAATTTGTTGGCATATAGTTTTTCATAGTATTCTCTTATAATCTTTTGTATTTCTGTGGTATCTGTTGTGATTTCTCCTCTTTCATTTCTAATTTTATTTATTTGAGTTTTCTCTCTTTTTTTCTTAGTGAGCCTGGCTAAGGGTTTGTCAGTTTTATTTTCTCAAAGAACCAACTCTTTATTTCATTGATCCTTTCTACTGTCTTTCTTGTTTCAATTTCATTTATTTCTGCTCTAATTTTTATGTATTTCCCTCCTTCTACTGACTTTGGGGTTTGTTTGTTCTTCTTTTTCCAATTCTGTTAGGTGTCATTTGAGATTGCTTATCTGAGATTTTTCTTGTTTATTGAGGTGAGCCTGTATTGCAATGAATTTCCATCTTAAGACCACTTTTGCTGCATCCCAAATGAGTTGGTATGATGTGTTTTCATTTTCATTTGTCTCCAGATAATATTTTATTTCTTCTTTCATTTCTTCAATGATCCATTGGTTGTTCAGTAGCATGTTGTTTAATCTCCACATTTTTGCCCCTTTCCTAGCTTCATTCTTGTAGTTGATTTCTACTTTCATAGCATTATGGTCAGAAAAGATGCTTGGTATTATTTCAACCCTCCTGAATTTGTTGAGACTTGCTTTGTTTCCCAAGATTTGGTCTATCCTTGAGAATGTTCCATGCACACTTGAGAAGAACGTGTAACCTGCTGTTTTTGGATGGAGTGTTCTATATATATATATTAAGTCCATCTGGTCTAGTTTTTCATTTAATTCTGCAATTTCCTTGGTGACTTTCAGTCTGGATGATCTACCCATTGGTGTTAGTTGGGTGTTGAGTTTCCCTACTATTATTGTGTTGTTGATATCTCCTTTTAGTTTTGTTAATAGTCACTTTACATACTTTGGTGCTCCTGTCTTGAGTGCATTTATATTTATGTGTTATGTCATCTTGGTGGAGTGTCCCTTTTATCATTATAAACTGCCCCCCTTTGTCTCTCTTTATCTGTTTTGCTTTGAAGTCTACTTTGTCTGATATTAGTATGGGAACATCTGATTTCTTATGTTCATTAATAGCTTGGAGTATCATCTTCCATCCCTTCACTCTGAGTCTGTGTTTGTCTTTGGGGCTGAGGTGTGTTTCCTGGAGGCGGCATATTGTTGGGTCTTGTTCTTTAATCTATCCTACCACTCTGTGTCTTTTGATTGGAGAGTTCAATCCATTTACATTTAGAGTGATTATTGAAATGTGGGGGCCTAACGCTGCCATTTTATTGCTTGTTTTCGGGTTCTTTTGCATTTCTTTTGTTTCTCCTCCCATGATTTTTGGACTACCAATTCAGGGAGGTAGTTTTCTATATCGGCTTTCTTCTTATTTGTAATTTCTGTCTTTATTCTTGTTATTTGTTTAGTGGTTACCAAGTGGTTTGTATGAAACGTCTCATAGATGAGATAGTCCATTTTCCGATAGCCTCTTATTTCCATAGATTAAGCCATTCCATCCCTTTCCTCTTTGCCTTCTAGGTTGTTATTGTCAGATTTTTTTTTCTTCCTTCTTGTGTTGTGGGTTTGTGGTTAAAATGACAAGATTATATTTATTCTTGGTGTTTCCCTTCCTTTTATCTTTAAAGTTATACTTAGCCTTTGCTAACCTGTTCTGATGGAGAGCTGCAACTTTCTGATTTTGTCTTTCTACTTATCTCCTTTGCTCTGGGTTTTATAATGCCTTTCCGTTTTTTGTTTTTTCAGGTATGAGGGTCTTCTTGAGCATTTCTTGTAGGGGGAGTCTTGTGGTGATGAGCTCCCTTAACTTTTGTTTATCTGGGAATGGTTTTATTTCTCCATCATATTTGAAGGATATTTTCGCTGGATAGAATATTCTTGGCTGCAAGTTTTTGTCCTTTGAGTTTTGAATATATCATTCCACTCTCTTCTAGCCTGTAAGGTATCTGCTGAGAAATCTGCTGACAGCCTGTTGGGGGTCACTTTGTAGGTTATTTTCTTCTGCCTTGCTGTCCTTAGTATTTTCTCTTTGTCATTGACTTTTGCGAGCTTCACTACTATATGCCTTGGGGTTGGTCTTTTCACACTGATAAAGTTTGGAGATCTATTAGCGTCTGTGACATGGAGTTCCATCTCTCTCCCCAGGTTTGGGAATTTCTCAGCCATTGTTTATTTGAACAGGCTTTCTGCCCCCTTCTCCTTCTCTTCTCCCTCTTGGACACCTATAATCCTTATGTTGCTTTTCCTAATTGAGTTGGATATTTCTTGGAGAGTTTCTTCATTTCTTTTTAGTCTTAGTTCTCTCTCCTCCTCTATCTGCAGCATTTCTATATTCCTATCCTCCAAATTGCTAATTCTGCCTTCTATATTATTGACCCTACTGTTCAGAGAGTCCAGATTTTTCATAATCTCCTCCATTGTGTTCTTCATCTCCAACATTTCTGATTGGTTCTTCCTTATAATATCAAGCTCCTTTGTGACATAGCTCCTGAACTCCTTGAGTTGTCTGTCTGTATTCTCTTTTAATTCATTGAGTTTTTAAATGATGGCTATTTTGAATTCATTGTCATTTAGGTTACAGATTTCAGTGTCTTCAGGATTTTCTGGGTACTTGTCATTTTCCTTCTGCTCTGGAGATTTAATATATTTTTTCATACTGCTTGATGGCATGGATTTGTGCCTCCACATAGAGACAGAGTTTGGTTACTGCTTCCTTTTGCTTCTACTGGTGGTGGTGGTGGGGCAGGAGCTGTGTAATCTGCACCAACCAGGATCCCTGTCAGCTGTTCCTGACCGAGCCTGGGCCCCTCCTTGTGATCACAGTGGCCCTGTGAGGTCTCTTGTCAGCTGTGGGGACAATTGCAAAGGGGCCTCCAGTGGCTGGTGCCTACTGTCACAGACCACCTAGATGCACTCCCTCCTTAGGGTCTGCAAAAGTGTTATGGGCTTTCACAGCAGCCTGGAGCAGGTTCACCTAGACTCGCAGCTCTGCCACCATCAGGTCCCACAGGGTCTCACTTGTCCACTGTGGGCTGCAGCAGAGCTATGGGTATCTACTGCCGTCTGTGGTTAGCCCACCCAGCTGTGCTACTTCTGACCCAGGGCCTTCCAGCCTTGTGAGTGCCAGGTGGGGCCTCTCTACTACTGCCGAGCAGAGGCTTTCCCTGCCGCTGCTGTGGGACTGTGGATTTTCCCCCTGGACCAGGGAGCAGTCAGGCTGGGGTTCCAACTTGTCACTGCCCACTCACACAGTCCCTCTGGGTCTCCCTTGCCCCCTCGGGGTTGCAGCCAGGCTTTGTTTGTTAGATGCAGCCAGCAGGGTGCTCAGCCAGCCAGTCCCCTTTTGCCCTAGGGCCTCCCAGAAGTCTGATTGCTGGGCGGGGCCTCTCCCGCCGAGTGGAGGCTTTCCCTGTGGCTGCTGTGGGACTGTGGATTTTCCCACTGGACTAAGGAGCAATCACGGGGGGCTTAGGGCTGTAGTCACCTGTTTCCACAGTTGCACCGCAGATGTGCGCCCTTGGTGCCATGGCGATGCCATGGGCGTGTCAGCCAATAGAAAGCCGCTTGCAGGTACAAGGCTGTCTGGGGGTTGGAGAGTTCTCACCTATCTCCACCTCCTCCGGGGGGGATGTCTGTCCGTTTTCTGATGTATAGCAGCCCGGGTCTCTCAGGCATCCTGAGATGCTGTGTGGATATCCTTTGCTGACCCATGAATGTCCAATTAGTTGTAGTTCGAAGGAGGAGAGACAAAGAAAACTGCTCACTCTGCCATGTTGCTGATGTCACTCCAAACTGTGCCTTTTGTAAACAGCGTATACTTAGGATTTTAAAGCTCCATCTTGCCCTGACCCTTGGGGTCTTCCTGGCTCTAGCTCATCGCTTCTCCCTGCTGGTTCTTCCACATCCCGCCTACACCTGTATAAACAGTCTCCTTGGAATTAAATCTTCCTCAGATTATGCTAATCTGAGTGTGCTGTCTGTTTCCTGTTGGAACCCCAAGGACCACTTCCTCCCATTTCACTTCCTCCACTGCAGTTAACTGGGGGCCGTATGACTGGTTCTGACCAATGCACCAGGCAGGGAAATGACTGGGGTCTCCCACCGAGCTCCTCCACCCATCTCTTCCCTGTGGTGACAATCTCGGAGGCCATGTGCTCCAGATGGAGCGGCCACAGGATGGAGAACGGCTGCCCAGCGTGGTAAGAACTGTGTTGGGTGAGTAAGAAATGAACATCAATGGGCGACATCACTGAGGTTTCAGGGTGCCTTCTCGTCTCTGGATCGCCTGTTCTCCGTGACTTAGGGTCATGCACTGGGTCTACTTTTGTATCCTCCTTGTGATGGATGCTCGCTTTTTCTTCCTTCCTTCCTCTTTCTTCTCTTTATCTTTCTCTTCTCCATTTTTCTTGTTCTCCGTCTTTTTTCTCTCTCTTTCTCTCTCCCTTCCTTCCTTCTTGCTTGCTTCCCTCCTTCTTCTCTCCCTCTCTCCCTTTCTCTCTCTCTCTCCTCCGCCCAGCACTTGAATCAATTCCCTTCCTACTGTGCTGAATTTCCCACTGTGGTTCTGAGGGCAGCGGTGCCTGCCTTCCACCAAAGATGAAACAACTGGATACCTGATCTCCCCTGAGTCCTGACCCCCATCTCCTCTGACTCTCTCTCTCTCTTAGATCCTGGCACACAGCTTCGCTTGACCAACCAGGCCTGCAGGGGCAGCAGCGGCAGCCACTGGAAGCCAAATTCTGTGCAGAGCACGTGCCTCACCCAAAGGTTCCTCATCTTGCCTGGGTTTGTGGCTGTCTTGCTGCCTGACTGTTTTCTCAGTCCAGTTCTCTTGTGTTCCTGCTGATTCTGACCCTCCAATGTCTCCCAGTGAATTCCTTTTCCGCTTTACCCAGCCTGCTGGAGTGGGTTTCAATTGCCAGCAGCTAAAATCTCAATTGATATCCTATTTTCCACTTAACATATATCACAGACGTATTCCACGCTATTATCATTCAAAATGTTATTTTAATGGTTGCATATTTCACCGTACTCATGTAGTATAATTTATTTAGCCATGCCTAGTATTTGAGTAAATTTATTTAGCCATTCCCTAGTATAAATTTCTGTTAAATGCTTGCAATGAATATTTTTGTGTTCACATATTTAGTTTCAATCTTTTTCTTTTTTAAAGATTGACACCTGAGCTAACCTCTGTTGCCAATATTCCTTTTTTCTTCTTCCTCTTCTTTTCCCCAAAGCCCCCCAGTACATAGGTGTGTATTTTTAGTTGTGGGTCCTTCTAGTTGTGGCATGTGGGACACCACCTCAGCATAGCTTGATGAGCGGTCCCATGTCTATGCCCAGGATCCGAACTGGCGAAACCCTGGGCCTTTGAAGCAGAGCACGCGAACTTAACCACTTGCCCACAGGGCCGGCCCCTTAGTTTCAATCTTTATCTCCTTAGGATGTCTCAGGAGTGGGAGTACTGGCTTAACAACATGAACATTTTGAAAGCTCTTGTCTCGTAAAGCCAATTTTTTCCCAGAAACGTTATACCAATTTGTACCCTCACAGTTAAGGATGCTCAATTTCACTCCACTCAATGAGACGAGGTATTATAATTTTAAACAATCTTTGATAATCTGATAGGAGAGACTCTCACTGGTGTTTTAAAGGGCATTTGATGACCAGTGAAGCCGAATATTTTAAAATAGTTTATTACATATTTTTATTTCTTCTTTTGTACATTTCTTGTTGAAGAACAAGAAATTTTTCTACTGGAATGTTCATTTTTATTGATTTGTAATTGCTTTTTATATATTAGAGGTGATAACCTTTTGTCTATTTGTTGTAACTATTTTATCCTGGTTTGTAGTTCCCCAATAAATTTAATTAAATGGTTCATAGAGATTTAAATTTTTATATATTAAATTCTATCTATCTTATTCTTTGTCATTTTTTCCCCTGCTTTTATGTTTAGAAAGTCTTTACTCACTCCCGGATCAAATATTTGTCTCTAGTTTCCTCTCGTTTTTTTATGATTTTCCTTTTTTACATTCAATTCTTTAAATCCTCTGGAATTTATATCAGAGCATGGTGTGAAGGAAAGAGCTAATTTCATTTCTTTCCAAATAGCTAAGCGGATGTCCCGGCATCATTTATTGAATAATCTGTTCTGTCCCCACAGATCTGCAGTGCCACCTCGGGAAGCGGAGACGCTACAGTCGCCATGGTAACAGGGCTGCCTCAAAAGCATTTGTTCTCACAGAGCGGCGGCTGGTGCCCAGCAGGGCTCAGTCTGGCCTCACTGCACGTCTTCCCTAATTAAGATGCACCTTTTGGTTTTGTCTTTTAAAAACATTCTCCCTTTATAGCCACGATGCAGAAGGAAGTGGAGACCGAGGCCTCCTCACATCCTGTGTATTATGAGCTGGGCCCGCCAGGGTGGCTGGAGCACGGGAAGAGGAGGCAGCAAGCTGAGAAGGTGGATGCTGGTTCGCTCCTCTTGCATCCTGAGGAACTGGAGGGACGTCGTCAAGGTCCCTGAACAGCTGGAGGGTGCTGTTCGAGAATGAACCTCTATTTAAAATGGAGCGGAGACTGCGCTGTTGGCCCAGCGAGAGCCCAGCTTGGGTCCCAAGCACCCCTTCCCCTCCTGGGGTGGCAGCTTCTGCCACTGATGGGCAGCAAAGCCCACACTTCCTGCTCTCTGGGGCTTCCGGCCTTAGGCCCCTGGAGTCCTCTTCCTTATTAGGGGTCTGTGTCCAGCTGGGTGGGGATGAGACCTGGGCCTGCGCTCATCCTTCGGGAAGGAGGAGAAGGAGCCCTGCTTTGGGGGCGGTCCCAGGGAGCCTGAGCGCGGAGGGGGAGACGGTGAGGATGCTTGACGACCACTTTGAATGCTGGCTGATCGCAAAGCCGCCTGCTGCAGGGCAGAGCAGGCGAGAGACCATGTGAGCCGGGGCAGGAAGATGCAGAAGCTATGAGGCCAGGGACAGAACCCGGGTGGCAGTGAGAGGAGGGAGGGACATGCGACAGCTGTGGGAATCAGCAGCCTCCTCCTGCCGTTGTCCCCTGGGGCCTGGCCCCCAGCCCTGGGGTCCCCTGAGATCCCTGGAGCCTTGCAGTTAGCCCCCATTACTCGAGGCACTTGGAGTGGGTTTCTCTTGCTTGCAATCGGAGCAGCCTGTGTCCTAGGCAGTGTGAGGCCTGGCAGTGGTGCTGTGGCCCTCCACGCGGCATGTCTGTCGGCAGCGCTGTTGACCCTGGGTCTCCAGCCTTAACCCCCTCCCCCTCCCCCCTTCTTCCTGAGGATCCAGGTGCCAAGGCCTGCTGGAGCTCCGGCCCAAGTGTCTTTCCTCTCTCGCCCTCCATCCCCTCCTCAGCTGACGACAGAACAGTCCGAGGGCTGGGGGGTGAAGAGCCAGCACACTGCTGACATCCGACAGGAGTGTCCTGCAGTGTGGACCCAACACCTGAGGTCAGAGCTCCCAGCCCTGTGCTGCGTGGGGGCTCCAGCGAGGTGAGGGTGGGGGCTCTGGGAGGCTCCCGGGGCCGTGCTGGGACAGCCAGAGACCTGGGCTGGGCAGGCCTGCCATTTCCCCCAAGTGCTGTGCAAATACTGTCCTGCTCTCTGAGCCATGACCTGAGAAAGGTCAGAAGCTCTGCCCCAGGTGGGGGCGGACCAGGCCTGGCGGCTGGCATTCAAGCTCACCAGCTGATGCCCCCGTCTCTGGGCTGCTGGCTGTGCTAGGAGTCTTGTCCAAAGAGAGGACACTGCTGTGGGAAGAGGGGTAATAGATCGTGTCCCCCATGTCCTGCAGAATCCTTGCAGATCAGGCCTTGAGGTTTGGCTGAGGTTTCTGGAATATGCCAATCCTACAGAAAGACTTTCAGAGCTTCCGGGGACCTTACAGGTCATTGTAGTGGCTAAGAGTGTGGGCTCCTGTTTGGCCAAAAGGGAAATGAAGCCCTGGGGCTGGCCTGGTGGTGTAGTGGTTAAGTTCACGCGCTCCACTTCGGCAGCCCAGGGTTCATGGGTTCAGATCGGACTTACACACCGCTCATCAAGCCATGCTGTGGCAGTATCCCATATACAAAATAGAAGGAGATTGGCACAGATGTTAGCTCAGGGCCAATCTTCCTCACCAAAAAAAAAAAAGGGGGTGAAAAAGAGAAATGAAGCCCTGATACACAGCACAACATGGATGAACCTTGAAATCATGATGCTGAGTGAAAGAAGCCAGACACAAAGGGCCACATTGTATGATTGCATTTCTACGAAACATCCAGAATAGGTAAATCCATAGAGACAGGGGTGGAGGGATGGGGGGACTGGGGATATTACTAAATGATATGGGGCTTCTTTGGGGGGGTGATGAAAATGTTCTAAAATTGATTGTAGTGATGGCTGCACAGCTCTGAATATACCAGAACCCACTGAGTTGTACACTTGAAATGGGGGAGTCGAATGGTATGTGAATCATAGCTCAACTGAAAAAGCTCAACTACAAAAGAAGGGGAGTTTGGGCCACAGGGCAGACGGCCTGGGTTCCAATACTGCCCCTCACTTACCAGCTGGCTCCTGGGACAGGCGGCCTAACCTCTTTGCACCCGAGCTTGCTCACCTGCAACAAGAAGCTGATAAAGCACCTGCTTCCTGGGTCAGGGGTCGGGGGTCGGGCTGGGTTAGACGAGTCAGCACGCGACCGGTGAGAACAGGGCCCGACGCTCAGTCGGCAGCTGCCCGCGCGGTTCAGTGAGGCAGCCCCTTGTTGGACGAGGTGGAGAATGGAAGCCCCAAGAGGTTAAGCGACTTGCCCAAGGTCACTGTCAGAAGCTGAAGAACAGCCCCCACAATAAAATACACATCCAAGTCCTCATTCCCAGAACCTCTGCGTGTGACCTGGTTTGGAAAGAGGGTCTTTGTGGATGCGACAAAGTTAAGGATCTTGAGATGAAGAGATCGTCCTGGATTACCGGGTGAGCCTGAAATCCGACGACAAGTGTCGAGGCAGGTTCTGTGATCCCCTTTTACAGAGGAGAACACCGAGGCTATGTTGTCACTTGCCCATGTCACACCCCCATCAACGTGAGGGAGGAGGAGGGACTGAGATGTGCGAACCCGGGCTGTCCCCTCGGGGCACACTGGCTCCTTAGATTTCCCAGCCCCTGCCTGAAAAGGTATTTAATTTGCCTTTTACGATGTACCGATTGCAAGTTAATTAACTGGCAATTGAAAGTTATAGGTGGCATTAGAATTTATTAATAACATTGGAAATAAATCTCCCTGGAATTCAAATAATTGACAATCTCGTGAAATTCTCTATTTTATAATCCATAAAACAGGTCTGGCAGAGAGGTGTTCCAGAAACCCTGGGGGTGGTTGGGGCTGCAGGTGTGGGAGAGTCAGGCTGGGGAGGGGCTTCTGTTCTGACCTAGGCCCGTCTTGGGCCTGCACCCCTGCCCACCACCTCAGCCACTGCCTCTTAGGGTCTCCTATTGGGATGTTCTGTGGCTCACTGCAGTGATCACTGCAGGGCACTGGGATGAAGATGAGACCCTGCCCACAGGAACATCACAGCCTACTGGGGGCGACAGAGCTGTGAGGGCACTTTTTTTTTTTTTTTTTTTTTTTGGTGAGGAAGATTAGCCCTGAGCTAACATCTGTTGTCAATCTTCCTCTATTTTGTATGTGGGACGCCACCACAGCATGGCTTGATCAGTGGTGTGTAGGTCCGCACCCAGAATCTGAACCCACAAACCCTGGGCTGCTGAAGTGGAGTGTGCAAACTTAACCACCCGGCCATGAGGCCAGCCCTAGAGGGCACATTTTGGCTCCAGGGAGATGAGGGCTGGGACTGGGGGACCCCACTGGCGCCTGGACTGCCTCTGGCTGGTGCTCCTGGCCCATTCGGCAGGAGAAGAGCCCCTTGTGGGTCTTTGGAACACACCACACACAGGATGAGAAGAATGAGCCCCCCAAATACTCCTCCTGTCCAGCATGGAGTGGGCCAACCCCGCCCGCTGCATTCTGGGAAGGGAGATGCTCAGCGACCCTGAGGGTCAGGCAAGTGTCTGACCAACTTCCAGCCACGCCTTGATTTCCTCCCCGTCCCAGGTCACATGGAATTCTCTTGAGTTCCATTCCCAAGGAGGTGCAGCAGGAAATGTGGGGTCCCATTGGGATGCCCAAGAGGGCCCCTGCTGGGGCTGACCAGGGCTTCTGGCCCACTTCTGCGGGTTTTTGTTTTTTTTTTCAAGGTATGCTTTTTATTTATTTATTTATTTTTGGTGAGGAAGATTGGCCCTGAGCTAACATCTGTTGCCAATCTTCCTCTGTTTTTTTTTTTCCTTCTTTCCTTCCCCAAAGGCCCAGTGCATAGCTGTATATCCTAGTTGTAGGTCATTCTAGTTCCTCTGTGTGGGACGCCGCCACAGGGTGGCTTGATGAGTGGTGTGTAGATCCACACCCAGGATCCGAACCGGCAAACCCCAGGCTACCAAAGCGGAGGACACTAACTTAACCACTAGGCCACCGGGGCCGGACCCCTCTGAGTTTTTGACCAAGGCCGTCCAACCCCTCCATGGGAAGCAACCCTGTCCCAGAGCAGCGCCTCGGCATCTGCTCATACTCGCCCCTCCCAGTGGGGCCATCCTTCCGTCTCTCGGTTCACGTGGGCTCCGCTCTTCCTTCCAGAATCCCAGCAGCCAAGAACACGGCCTCCCCGAGTCCCACGGACCTGATCTGAGACCCAGATTCACCATCAGCTGGCTGTGTGACCTCGGGTGAGCCACTCAGCCTCTCTGGGGCTTAGCTGACTCTCCACAAAGTGGGGAAGGCGTCTGTGAAGTTGAAGGGAGGTGATGCATGCCACGTGCTTCACACGCTGCCTGGCCTCATCCTTAAAGACCAGCTCACATCCACTTCCCCCGGCAGACCCACACCCCTGGCCCTTGGGGACCGGGGCCTCCTTTGGGGTCCACAATACCTGCACCTGGGCCCTGTCCACACACACGGCAGACTTGGCCTGTCTCCCTGCGGCCGTGGAGCTCCCGTCGGAAGCTGGCTCCCCCTGTGCCCCTCCACTCCCAGCAGCTCCGAGTGGGCCCGGGAGCACCTGGACGTCGATCCTGCGCCCATCCTGGGGGCTCACTCCAGACTCTGCCAGCCCCCACGCAGGCCTGCCCCGGACAGCGCAGGGTCCAGGGCCAGGGTACGTGGAGGCGTCCCATATATCTGAATATTTCAGTTAGATGTTGAGTTAACCGACAGTTAAATAAAATGTTCAATGTTCCTACTTGGACAAACGTCCTTTATGAGGACCTGGAAGGCCAGGATGACTTCAGATTGTGACCCCAGAACGTGAGGGCCCGGGGAGAGCCGCTCCCAACCCTTTGAACCACGGCCACCCCTGCTTGCTTCTGTCCGGCACCTAGGGCCTGTGTGCACGTGTGGACACCCACCCTGCACACCCATGCTCAGTCACCCTTGGGAAGCAGCAGCCCCCGGTCTAAGGATGCAGATGTCGGTGGGGACGCGGTCTGCCCTCCAGACATCCGGGGGGAGAGGCACACGCCGACCTTGGGCTGGGACCAGGGGGGTGGCACATTTGGTGTCCTGGGTGAGACAGGACAGGCTCCCTCTTAGGGTCCCACGTCTGCCACTGGGTCTGGGAGAATGAAATGCTCCTGGCCTGCTTCACCAAGGGGTGGAGGACTCAGCTTGTCAGACGGCATTTGGTCCCGTGGGGGCCCCAGGGACCTCCATGAGGCTTCAGCCAATAAGGACGGGGTGCGGGGGATGGGGTGGGGGCCTCCAGGGAGCCAAGAGTGTGGCCTGGAGAAGAAAAAGGGGCTCGGCTTCCGGGGGGGGGGGCACTCACACCTCTGCCCAGCCCTCTGAGCCATCCTCTCCCTCCTGCACCCTTGTGTGTACACCGTGTGTCCCCCTTGCACAAAGGATCACCAAGGAGACACCCGCCTTCACTCCCCGAGCCTTTGCTGATGCTGTTCCCCTGCCTGCAGTGTCCTTTCCTGTTTAGCCCACTTCTGCTGATGCCTGAAGACCCCTTCCTCCTCTGTGGCTCCTGCTCCGGCCCCCAGCAGACTGGCTGCGCCCCCTGCTGTGTTGGTGTGACCACGCGGCCATTCTCCGACATGGTGAGCCACGCATGTCCCACTGGCTGGAATTCACCTGTCCTCAAACCCGGCCACATTGTCACTAGATTGGGGCCTTCGTTCCAGGGCCGGCCTCCCATGCCACCTGTGGGGCACGAGGGTGGGCTCAGCGCTGGCTCTAAGTAGCCGTCCCTCAGTGTTCTTGTGTGATTGGGTCTGTGTCCCCATAGGGAGGATGGCATTCCTTTATTAAAAAACGGACACTTTGTCTGGGCCAGGCTCTGTGCAGGAGGCTGGGAAGGGGGGAGGTGACCAGACAAGCTGGTGATCAGGATCTCAGTAATGTCACCCTGGGACGAGGCCAGACCAGGGGTAACATGGGGGCCAGGGGCAGGAGCCCAGTCCGAAGCTTCCAGCTGGGAACACAGGGTCTCCCTGGGCCCTGGAAGCGTGGGCCTCCTCCTGGGCTGGGGCTGTGGTCAGAGAATAACTCCCCTGGGGCCCCTCACGAGGGGTGGGTAGCCCCACGAGGCTCTGAGTCCTGCTGGGGACAGCCTGCAGGAAGCCCTGGGTGGCATTCAGTTCAGTCCCCCACCTCGGCTGAGGGCCAGGGAAAGGACCCAGCGACTGGGCCCCAAACCGGATTTGTGCCTGAAAGAAAATGTCCACGACCCCAGGCTTGGGCTGGAGCAGGGGGGCAGGGGTCCCTCTGCCCAGGACCCTGAGGCCTCCCCATGTCACTCTCCGTCTTGCAGAGCTGGGCCAGGCCAACCTGGATGCCACGCTGTTGGGAGGAGGGCTCCTGGCAGACCCCTGAGGGGCCGGGCCTCGGTGAGGCTGACCAGGGACACGGTTGGTCAGTGGGCACAGCCAGGCCCCCCACCAGCTACCCCACACGACACCAGAGCCACATGAGGAGACCACCTTTATTGTCAGAGTCTTACAGACGTCCTGTCCACTTCTGACTGCCCCTCTGTAACAGCAGGCCTGCGGGAGGCCGCACCTCGGCCCTAGGGCCAGCCCTGCCTCATGAAGGGCAGTCAGGGCCTCGAGGGCAGAGAGAGGTTACCAGGGGCCAGGGACCAGGCCACAGCTGCCCAGGAGCACCCAGGGCTCTGGGGACCATCACTTCTCCTGAGGGGACACATGCCTGGGGGGCGCCAGCACCTGTGAGGCCCAGAGAGGGAGCAGCACCAGGGCTGGTCCGGGTCACAGGGGACCCAAGGCCTGAGAGGCCTGAGTGGCCCAGATGGCTGGGTCTGAGCTGCTCCGGGCGTCTGCCGGGGGGCCTGCCTGGGCTCGCAGCCCTGAGGGCAGGGGCGTCTCTCCCCACCAGGGCCTGGGACATAGACAGCCCTCCTTCCTCTGTGTCAAGGGGACACAGGACTTGCCGTGTGGCAGAAATGGCCAAGCCTACAGATTCCCAGGAGCCTGCGAGGGGGCATGTGGTGGCCCCTGGAGGATGCACATTCCATTCAATCTTGCCTCCTCCCGGCTCCGGGGACGGGGGCCTGGGGGCGGGTGGGCTCAGAGAGACTGGGATGCTGTGGTGGCCATGCCAACACGGTTTGAGGGCCCCTGCACCCCAGGGCTCCTCTCTCACGGTCCCCAAGTCCATGTGACTGTCGTGGCTTTATTCAAGGCCTTCCTGGCCTCCAGGAGCAGATACAGGCCCAGACGCTGCCAGCCCTCGGAGCAGACCCCGAGCCCGGGGAGGGCCGTCACGGAAGGTGGCCCAGGTGCCGCGCATGCAGTCTCGGGGTGCTGGGCAGGGCCCACCCTCCTCCCCACCCTCCTCCCCACCCTCCTCCCCACCCTCCTCCCCACCCGCCGGCCGGTCCAGCCTCGCCAGCCCTGCGCCCGCGCTGGCCGAGTTTCCCCGTGAAGAGGGTAAGCTGGCTGGGTGGAGAGTTCGGAAGGGAGAGGCCTGGGTTCAAATCCTGCCCCAGCCGCCCACGGTCCGGTGGTCTGGGGCGGGTCACTCATCCTCTCCAAGCCTCCGTTCCCCCAGCAGGCGGGGACAACAAGCCTATCTAAGGGCTAAATGAGAATGTGGGGCCAGCCCCTGGACAGGCGCCTGTCTAGCAGGGACTCAGGAAATGACGGGGATTATGATTATTCCCACGCTCTCCGCCCACCCGGACCCCAGCTCCTGCAGGGAGGGGGCGTAGGGGGCAGGGACTGGGGCAGGGCTCTGCCAAGCGTGCTGGGCCCCTCTGGACCCTGCCCCTGGAGACGCCATCTGTCCCCTAGGTCTCCAGGCCTCAGGAGCCAGTGTCCCTCATCGTCATCCACCTGGAGCCCTGGCCCACTGGAGGTGCCCTCAGGAGCCGGCAGTGGCACAGGCCTCGGGCTGGGGCTCTTGGGCTAGGGCTCTCGGGGCCGGGCTTGTCCTGGAGAGCTGGCCCTACTGCCTGCTGCTGGCCCGGCCCGCGCTCTTCTGCCCAGGGTCGGGGCTGAGCAGGGCGGCCAGTGAGCCGTCGGGGGGTGGGCCACCCCGCTTCATCTTGAGGCTGGCCCTCAGGGCGGCGTCCTGGCCGGAGCCCCCCTCGGGGGACGCCAGGGGATCTGGAAGGAGAGTGGGAGAGTGGGCTAACACAGGCCTGGGGGCACTCCAGGGCACCCTGGCACTTGGTCCCCCGCGAGGGAAGCCCTGTGCCAGGAGAGGAGAGGGCAAGGCAGCAGCCGGCTTCCTATGCCTCAGGCATGGGCTCAGTCATTCATTCATCCATGAACTCATTCACTTACCCATTCATTCATTCATTAGTTCACTATCCATTCATCCATCCATTCCGTCACTCACTCAGCCAGCCATTCATTCATTCATCCATCATTCCCTTGCTCACTTACCCATTCATTCATCTATGCATCCATTCATTCACTCACTCATTCATTCATCTATCATTCATTCTTTAACAAACGCTGACCAAGGCTGGGCTCCAGCTGCAGAGGTGCCAGTCCCCACACTGCCACAAGAGCCTCCTAATGTGCCAGGGGGAGACCTGGACAGCCCGCCTCCTGCGGGAACAGAAGGATTCACAGAGCGCCCTGGGGAGAGCAGAGGGCGCCTCCACTGAAGAAGGGATCTTCGAGCAGGTCCTGAAGTGGGAGCTGGTGTCCAGCAGGTGGAGGGACCGGCCTGAGCAAAGGCACGGATGGAGGTGGGAGGGGACCCGGGTGACTGGGTGGTGCCTGTGTCCCTGGGCACCAGCCTATGCTGGGGAGGAACTTGGGACTTGATGCGTCTGAATGTCGGTCACGGGCAGCAGGGAGCCACCGAGGGTCCTTGAGCTGGGGAGGGACAGGGTCAGACTGGGGTCTGGGAAGGACCGTCCGGCAGCCAAGTGGAGGGTCCTGGAGGCAGGGAGACCAGAGACCAGCGGCAGCCTCCAGGAGGGCAGAAGGGAGTGAGGAGGCACGAGCAGAGGGAGAGTCCAGCTCGGGGGCCAGGAGGGGGCCCGCCCGTCCACCAGTCCCCAGGTGGTCGCCACTCACCGTGGATCCCAATCATGTGCTCCAGGATGAGGACTCTCTCCGCCAGGATCTTCAGGGCCTCCCGCAGCTGCTGGACCCCCTCGCCCTGCCGGGGAGGAAGCCACCAGGGTCAGGGCCGTCCCACCCCAGCGCACCTGTCATCGGAGCCCTCCCCACCCCCCCCTTCCCTCCTGTCACCGTCAACACAAATAACCATCATCCAAAATGTGCCAGGGGTGGGGTTCGAATTCTTGTTCACAGACAAGGAACCTGAAGCACAGAGAAGGTAACCAGCGTCCCTATGGCCACACAGCCTGGAAGTGGCTGACGGGGCTTCACACCCAGACCTGCCTGCCTCCTGTCGGGCTCCTCCTGCTCCGAAAGCTGCCCGGCTGCTCCCCCTCCGTGCCCTTCCTTCCAGAAAATGCCCTGCTGCGGGCAGAGCACCTGGCACGGGCCCCCAGTGTGGGTGCTCTGCTGGTGTCCTTCCTGGAGCTGCCCACCTGTGAGCTCTCTGCCAACCAAACGTGCAGAGCAGGCCGGGGCGGCCACCCCGGCAAGAACAAGAGAAGGGGGAGCCACCACTTCCCGCTGCCAGCGGCAGGGCGCGATGATGGCGAGGCCACATTCTGGGACCCGGCCGACACATGGGCAACAGACCTTGTGCATCAAGACTCCTGAATGAGCTGATTTACTGAGAAGACGGGTGTCAAGGCCACTTTGAAAAGAAAAGTGACGGTGAAGGGTCAAGGCCCTGCGCTGGGTCAGCAGCAAAATGGGTGCCTTTTGCTGGAATAACATGACAGCTCTGTCATGACATTCAGATTAATTTAGCTTAAAAAACAAAAGGAAACCAAAAAGCGTGCTACTGGGTTACAGGCGAGAAGTCTTCCTACGGGGAAGCCAAAGGCCATGAGAAGCCGCACACACTGTGGACAGTGTCTGGGATGGGAGTGTCCCCAGCGAGCAGCAGGGGTCCAGCCTCCTCTCTCAGGGAGCCAGCTAAGCCCCAAGTCCCTGGACCACAGGCTGCACTCTTAAGAAATGGGGAGGGGGAAGTCACGGTGACCTCTTAGTCTCCATCTGTGCTCACGCTCCTGCATGCACATCTTCCTCCCACTGCCTCCTGCACCCACCACGGCTGCTGTGGTTCCAGCCTCTTTCCATTTCTCCATTCCTGCACGTACCTTCCAAAGGTCCGCCCCAGCTCGTCCCTCCAGCCCAGCCCGCCTCCTGCAGCTGTCTGCCTCCAACGCCCACCTCCCACCTTGCCAGACTCTCCCCTGCTTGGAACCTCCCCAAGCTCGCTCACTTAAGGGGCTCTGGGTGCCCACCATGCTGGCAGGCCTGGCCAGCACTGACACAACCAGGGGACTCTTATTCCCAGCTTGCAAGGCCTCCCAGCTGGCCCCACTGCCCTTGCCCCCTTTATGCATCACCCTGGTCCCCAGCACCCCTCCCCATCCCAGAGGGCAGGGGGCCCCACAGCCATGCCCTTGCCCCATCTGTGTCCCCTGCCCGCCCCATCTTGCCCTGCCACCTTCCTGCTCCCATCCTCACTCCTTCGTCCGCCCTGTCCCACTTCCACCAGCCACGTGTCCACGCACCCATGTGCCCTTCAGTCCACCAGAGCCGTAACCCAGTGGGCGCATCCTGTCATGGGAGAGGATCCTGTCCCTGGAGAGGGACCCCACAGCGTGAAGCCTCCTTCAAGGAGGGGTCTTTTCTGCAGCCGGTGGCCCCTCCTGTCCTCTCCACGAGGGTCTCCTCCACCCTCCGCCCGAGCCAGTCACCCCTCCGTGCTCCCCCCACTGCAGCACCCTCGCACAGTGCCGCCAGCACTGCTTCTCGCGTCTGCCTCCCCCGATGGACCGGTCCCTGTCACCCCGTAGCCGCGCCGGCTCCGGCTCCGGCTGAGGGGCGTCGGCTCAGATCTGCTGGGAGGGAGGCAGAGGGGCCACGGCAGTTACCTCGGCGGCGGCTTTCTCCTCTTCCTCAGCCTTCCCACCAGGCTCGCCCTGGGAAGAAAGGCAGGCTGTCAACAACCAGGGGGGCGGCGGGTGTGGGGGACCCTCCCCAGCCTCGAGGGCAGACCGTGGGGGCCTCCAGGAAGTCGGGGGGCAGCAGCCCGGGGCCCAGAGCTGGATGGGAAGTGCCCTGGGGACAGGGAGCAGTGGAGGGCAAGGCCTGGGTGTCCCTGCACAGCCTGGGGCTGCGAGGGAGTCAGCTCATGTCTTGGCTCTTCCAGGAGCAAGTCCCCTGCCTCTCTCGGGACTCTGCTGCCCTGTTTCTAAAATGGGGCCAGGAATATCAGCCTCACGGTGACACCTACGTGGCTACTTACTGCTGTGTGACCTTGAGCCGTTACTTTACCTCTCTGTGCCTTGGTTTTCTCATCTCTAAAAAGTGGGTAACAATAGTGCCTATCTCACAGAGCTATGAGGAGGATTAAATAAATCAATACCAATAGTGAGCTTAGACTGGAGCCTAAAAGTGTTGTGAAGGTGTTTACCGTTATTGTTATTTGCTACTAAACAAAGCCCGTGGCTTTGCAGGCTGACACTCCTGGGTTTAAATCTTCGCTCTACCGTTGCCTAGCTGTGTGACCTTGGGCAAGTTACTTAACCTCTCTGAGCCTTAGCTGCCAGTTCTGGCAAATGGGGAAAATAAAGCCTGGTCTCGCTGGGTCACTGTGAAGCTTACAGACACTATGGATGAGGAGCACCTCCTCGGAGGCCAGCACACAGTAGGTGCTCAGCAAAGACCCATCCTTCCTCCCCCGCCCTGTGCCCTCCACGTAAGGCTTGGGCACGTAGTAGGAGGCGCGGCCTCCTTGGCCCTGGAGACAGGAGTTGAGACTCAGATTCTTGGGAATTTAGAAGTGAGCTGTCTAAGACGCTTGCTTCTGGGAGGTTCAGAGAAGGGAGAGATCTGCAGGTCACACCGCGCCTTAGCCGGGGGGTCTGGGCTCTGAGGTCTCCCCTCCCCAACCTGGGCATCTGGGACCGCAGTCCGGGGGCCCCTTTCTCTCGTTTGGCCCAGCCCAGCGTCGGGGGGACAAGGCCGTACTCGGGGAGCCTGGGGGCTGAGGTCTGGCAAGGTGGCCGGGACAGACCCCCAGCCCCCGGTGCCTGGGAGCGGCCCACCCCCAGGGCCCACACTCACCGCCACCGCGGGCACCGGCCCGGGCCGCTCTCCAGCCGGACCCTGCGGACAGCAGACAGAGCTTAGGCCGGGCCCAGCGCCAAGCCGCCCCGCCCCCCCGACCCTGGGCTCCGCGTCCGAAAGGAGGACCGAGGAGGATGGCCCGTCCCACGTCCCCTCCAGGAGCCTCGGCCGGGCCCTGGGAAGAGGCGCCTCTCATCTGCAAGATGGGGCCGCGCCAGGGAGGCCGATTGCTGGGGGAAGGAACGATGGCCTGCGCACCCCCGCGGAGAGTGGCCCCCGGAATCGAGTGACAGCAAAGGCCATCGAGACGGTCCCACCCCTGGACGCCCGTCAGTGCTGGGGCCCAGCCGGAAGGCCCCCGCCCCCAGACCTGGACGTCCAGCCGTCCTCCAGCATCCCCACCCAGCGGACCAAAGGGGGAACTCCTGCTCCCCACGCTACACTCGCCCCCATTCCCCAGTCGCCCTTCTCGGACCAGCCCCAGGTCCTCCGGCCGCTCCAGCGCCCACCTAGGAGCTCGCCTCCCCTTCCCCTCACTCGCCAAATCGACTCCAGCAGCTAACCATCAGCTCCACTTTCTCAACGTGTCACTCACTCTGCCACCTCCTTAATGCAGCTGGGGCTCCCTGCTCCACGTCTGCCCCCAACGTCCACTCTCCCCACAAAAGCCAGAGGGGTCTTTCATGACCCCTGAGAATCAGATCAAGGACTAACCTCCCTGACACTCCATGAGTCAGCCCCCTTCCCACTGGGACAAAAATCCACGCTTCCGCCCTGCAGGTTGGGCCCTGCCCACCTCACCTCATCTCTCCCCACACTCCCTCTACTCAGCGTGTTCCAGCCACTTCCCTGCCCCAGGGCCTTTGCACTCACTCCGCCCTCTACCCGGATCGCTCTTTCTTGGCATCTTTGCAGGGCTGCTCTTTCTGGTTCCTGGGGTCCAGCTGAAGCGTCACCTCCCTCCTCACATGTGTCACTCCCTCGTGTCGCAGGAGGCCCCTTCCCAGTCACTCTCTCACGTGGCCTCCTTTGGTTCTCTCATGACACCTCCTTACTGTTCAATGTCGGCCTCCCCCCTTAGACTCTCAGCCCCCGGAGGGCAGGGCTCCCTGCGGCCCTGCTCTTGTGCCCAGTACAGTGTCTGACGCAGCCGAGGTCCCAGGAGACATCTGCTGGGTGAACAGCGTTTATGGAGGTTCTCCTAAGGGCCTGGCGTTTCCCACCTGGCATCTCCTTTACTCCTCAAAGCAAGCCCACCCAGGAGGGATCTTTATCCTCATTTCACAGATGGGGAAACTGAGGCCCGGGGGGCAGTGGCCTGCTCAGGGTCACCCAGTTGGAAACTGGCAGAAATGGGCTTCAAACCCTGGTCTGTCTGTCCCACTCAGAGGAGAAAGTAGGGGCCACCTGGTCCTCCGTCACTGTCCCATCTCACTCCTATTTGATCCCTGTCTAGGGGACCCCGTCCCCAGTGCTCAGAGGCCTCGACCCCTCGGCTACGGAAGGAGACAGTGGCTGGGGCACCAGACTGGCCCCACCGTCCACAGTGAAGCCACATTCCAGTCCTCCCATGGGAGCAGTGGAGGCTGCTGGCCACTCCGACATCGTCAGTTTGTGGGCTAACCTCGGAATCTCTCTTTCCTAACCTTGGAATCTCTCTCTGTCCCTAGACTGTGGGCTCTGGGGAGCCAGGGACAGGCCAGGCACCGCCTGGGTCCCTCTGGCATCCCAGCCCTGCCCACAGGCCCCCGGCTGTAGGGAGAGACCACAGCTAGGAGGGGAGGGGTCAGGATGCCAGCAGCCCAAAGACCCCTCATGTTGATGCCCGGTCCCACTCTCTAGAGGGGGCTGGACGAGCAGCTCGGATTCGTGACCCCTGAACCTCCTTGGAATCTCGCAGGCCTGGGCCCCCACAAAGCAAACCCCTGAAGCCCTGAGGGTCTGCACAGCCCCCAAGGCAGCCCTGCCTGCAGGGCCTGGGAGACCCTGACAACAGACCACCTGGCGGGATGAGGCCACCCCAGATCGGCCCCTGCATCCTCGGCAAGGGCCAGAAGCAGCTGGAGAGAACCTGAGAGGGGCCTGGAGCTGCCCAGGCCCTGCGGGACCCCCACTCTGTTCCCCTGCTGTGTGACTCCGGCAGGTGATGGAACCTCTCTGAGCTTCCACTTCCCCGTGGCTGCTGGGATTAAATGATGGGATGCCCAAAATCAGTGGGCACAAGGAGGTGGGGGAAGGGCCGGGAACACCCACGTCCCTGGCCTTCCCTGTTGCCGTGGGCTGGGACATCTGGAGGGCCTGACCGCACAGGGCTCCTGTGGCTGACAGATCTCTGCCACACCTCTCTCCCCAGGCTGCCCCCAGCTTCCCTGGGCCCCTCCATCCCTCCCCACATTCCTGTCTCTGTCATTGTCATTCTCTTCCCCTTGCCCCCCCCCCCCCCCCCCCCCCCCCCCCTGTGGCTGGCGGCTCAAGGGGCTAGGAGGGGACCATGCGGGCCTGGCCTCCCAGCTTCCCTGGCCAGCCCCCTGACTCAGGAGCAGAGCAGACCTGAGGGCCCCCTGCCCCTGCAGCCCCCGCCCCACCCAAGGCCCTGCCACCAGCCTGGTTGGTGGCACAGCCAGCGTCGCTCTACCTGTGCCGTGTGCCCCTTCCCACGCCTGTGCATCCCGCCAGCCCTTCTCCACGCTGCCTCCTCCAGGTGTGACACACGGGGGACAACGGGGAGCAGGTCAGGGTGGGGACACTGGTCCTCTGACGACCAGAACATCCGCTCTCGAGGGCTGGGCTGTGGCCCCGGGGCTGGCTGTGTCCCAGGCTGGCGGTGCTCAGGGAACACTTGTCAGGCGACTAAAGGGATCAATGAATGTGGGGGACTGCCCAGGTCCCAGCGCCCACAGGTCAAGGCCCGGATCCACGCCCCTCACCGTGTGGGGTCACCTCTCAGCACCCACCCCAGCCAAGCCGGAGCCCCAGTACAGCGGAGTCCCGGGTCTGGACAAGGCCCAGGGTGGGGGCTGCAGGAAGCTCCCTTTGGTAGGACATCCCCAAACCCCTCCCTTTTGGCCTCCGCAGGACGTCCTGGGCCGTCCTGCCCCTCGGGGGCGATTTTGCTCCCAGGCCCCAGGCGCCTGCCGCACAGGCTGTTCCATCTGGCACCTTAGTTCTCTTTCGCTCCCTCTAACAACCCACGAGGGAGGCCCTGTGCCCCCCGTCTTAGCAGCTGAGGAAGCCAGAGCCCAGAGAGGCTGCCTTTCCACCCAAAGTCACACAGCCAGAGAGGCAGAGCAAGCTGGGGTTCGAGGCCACCCAGGCAGGCTTTGGGGTGCCCCCTCCCACACAGGGAATTCTTGGAGGGAGGGGTGACAGGCTGGGGTGGCTGTCCTGTGATCCTGGCCTGGCCCCACCACACCCTCTGTGCGACGTTGGGCCTCCCCGGGTCTCAGCTCATCTAAGAAATGGGAGTGACGCTAACACCTCCCTGGCACGAGGGAGCGGGCAGCAAAGGGACACTGCCACTAATACAGCCAGGATCCCTGCCGACCTTCCTCTGGGCGCCCCTGGCCCCACAGGGGACTGGCCCAGCGGCTGGTTCCTTCCTGAGCAACTCGTGCTGCTAAGAAGCTGGCTCCTCCTTTCCCGGGAGACAACGCCCCCCGTCCCCCTCAAAGGGGAAAGTCCTTACCTGGGATCCAGGCACACCTGGGGGTCCTGGGGGACCGAGTGGTCCAGGGGGACCTGTTGGCAGAGTCACAGGTGGTCTCAGAGCCCAGAGAAGCTGGGTCAGCTCAGGAGAGGCCCCTCCCCGCTCCCAGCCCAGCCTGCCTGGGTCTGTCTCCACTGGTGCAAACGGGGGGGTTTGATGAAGGAATGGTCAGGGGCGGGGGGCACGTGCTCCCCTGGCCTCCCCTGCCCCACCCCGAGCTGAGACCCCCCTCCTTCACCTCTTCTCTCCCTGCAGCCCCCACACCCCATACTGCTCCCCCTCCCAGGGTCTCATCCACGGGGCCGCGCTGCACCACCCCCACCCCGAGCCAGCCCAACCCCTGGCAGATCAATCGCGTCTGCCCCTCATCGGGACCTCAGACCTGAGCCCTCCGAGGCCATCCTCACCCGGGGTACTACAACCGCGTCCTGACCATCCACCCTCCTTGTGGCCACCCAGAGCCACCTTCCAGTTAGGTCCCTCTCAGCCCAGCCCACTCCACCCTCATTCCCTAGATGCCCTTCCAGAAGTTTCCTCTGCTTCTGTGCCTGTGCCAGCACTGTTCCTTCCTCCTGGAGCTTCTCCATTCCCTCCAGATCCCGGCAAACTCTTTCCTACTAGTCTCAGGCTGAGCATCACCTCCTCCAGGAAGCCCTCCTACTCCCTCCTCCCTCTAGACACATCCCTGACGTGGACCAGCCGCTGCGCACGGCCTCTGTCAGATTCCCTGTCTGGAAACTGGGGCACGGCCCAGGGAGCGCCCAGGGGGTCAGGCTGGTGACTGAACTTCCCACACGTCTGGAAGCGTGAGGCCTTGTCCCCAGGCGCCAGCATAGGCCTGTGCCTCCCGGGCTGCAGGGAGCCCCCTGCTGTGCCCGCGTGCCCCCACGCCTGGCAAGGACCCACAGGGAGGGGCACAGATCTGAACGTGGTCTGGTTAAAAACAAACGCCCTCCCTCCAGTCGGAGCAGATGACCTCACGGTCCCCAGGTCCCCTCCAAGCTCACGCCCTCGCCTCCTCCAGCCTTCGCTCCACTGCCACCGTCGAAACAAGGCCAGGAGCCTGGAACACCGCCGGGCAGCGGGGACGGGGACGTGCTCAGGAACACGCGGAAGGCACCCTGCGGAGGCCATGGGCCCCACCCAGCCCTCGCGCCCCTCGGCCCAGGCCACCCCAGGAGGGGCACCCCGTCCAGGCCGGCCTGTGTGCTTACCTGGAGGACCTGGGGGTCCCCGGGGCCCCGGGACGCCCGCCAGCACGGTGTCCACAGCAGCAGAGGCCAGCTGCGCGTCCCCATCTGTGGTAAGAGCAGAGCCGCCTGTGACTGGCAGGCAGAGCCCAGGGCTGGGGGCTGGGCCAGGGCGGCCCCGACCCACCCCGCTGGGCTTCACAGCAGCCCCGGCACGCGGACACGGATGCTCTCACTGCTCAGAAGAGCAAGGGAGCCCGGGTCAAAGGGCAGGGGAGCCTGATGGTCTTCCTATCAAGACAAATTCCCTCCTGAACATTCCAGGCCCTTGGGCTCTGGCCCCACCCCGCTCACTGCTGGAAAGGCTGGCACTCTCTTCCAGGCTCCACCCCACATGCTCGTTCTGATGCACCCTGCTGGCTCATTCCTTCGGGGTCTCCACCTCCAGGAAGCCTGCCTGCCCACTCCTCTCAGCCACAGGGCCCTGGCCTGCCTCCCTCACGCCTGGGCAGTGGTGAGGCCTGGCTAACGGCTCCTCTCATCCAGAGCAGCCCCATGTGACTTCGCCTTGCCCCATCCCACAGCCAGGCCCAGAGCGGCCAGGCTCAGGGAATGTCTGGGATGGGGGTGGTCACCTCCGCCCCTCCCTCACACACCCGGACTCTCCTTCCACGGGCCACACAGCAGGTGGTCCTCCTGCGGGCGCTCAGTCCCCACTGGCTGCCTCCACTGCTTGGGGCCTCCCCACTCTTTCCAAACACTCACACCGCAGCCCTGCAGGATGGCCGCCCTGTGTCAGGAACCCCAGGGCTGGGGGAAGGAGGGTCCCGTCTGAGGAGGGCTCCGGGCACTGGAGGTGGCAGAGGCAGGGCGTGGTGCCCAGGCCAGGGCAGGCTAGAACCTTCCTGCGGCCCCTCGTGGTCCGGGGTGCGGCTGCTGGACTCGGAGACCCACGCGGGCCTCACAAACACCCTCTGCTCTCTCCCTGCCCAGGTGCATCGCTGAGGAAGCTGGGTCTTCAGGGCTAACACTCGCTCCAGAAGGCCCCTGAGAGCTGAGCCCCTCCCCAGGCCCTGCCGCACCCACCGGCGCAGCCCAGGACGCCCACGTGCCCAGGAATGAGTTGCTCCCTTCCGGGGCAGGCACTGGCTGGGGGCTGGTTTTCAGCTCCAGAGCAACTCCATCAGGGAGTAGTACCACCCCAACTTTACAGATAGGGAAACTGAGGCTCGGAGGACAGTGCAATTCAGGTCCAGGGTTTAACGCTCAGCTGAGGCCTGTGCTGCCTGGGGGGACAGAAGCAGCCGCAGAAAGGGGGCTGGGTTTCTCTGACAGCTGACAAGGAGGTCCCCACCCCCCACGGAGCCTGGGACATCACCCACCCATCCTGACGGCACCTGGGATGTCACCCACACATCCCCGAAGCACCCAGGACGTCACCCCCCACCCCCATGGTGCCCGGACGTCACCCACCTGCCCCCACGGCAACTGGGACGTCACCCACCCATCCCCCCATGGTGCCTGGGACGTCACCCACCTGTCCCCACAGCAGCTGGGACGTCATCCACCCAGCCTCTCTTCTCAGAATTTAAAGTCAACCCTGTCACTTGCTTCTTAAAACCCTCCCCTGATTTCCCAGGGCATTTAACAAAAACAGTGCCCCTCTGCCCACCCGCACCCTGCCACCTTCCTGTCCCTGTGCCCTGAGTGTGGCGGATGGTCCTATGTGCCAAGGCCCCTCCTGCACAGGCTGTGGCCCCCAGGGCAGGCGTCTGTCTCTTGCTCCTCGATGAGTCCCCAGTGTGTGCGACACATAGTAGGTGCCCAACCAACACTTGTGGAGTGACCTACAGCGAGGGGACTTGTAAGGAGCAGATGCCATAATGGATGACCTGGGGGCGCTGCCGTCACCAGGCGGGGAAACCGAGGCTGGGCCAGAGAACAGAGTGACCTTTGGGGGTCAGGACCCAGGGGCAGGAGCTCCAGGCATGGACAGGCCGCATTGGGGCCGAGAGCAGGGTTGGGGGCCAGCATCAGCCCCCAGGGGACCCCTGCCCGCCTGGCTCCCCAGCCGACGCCCTGCTCCCTGACGTCCGCTTCCCGGGTCCCTAGGGGAGGCTGACCCCCCAGGCATGACACTCACTGTCCTTGTCGGTGGGCGGCTGCAGGGAGTAGAGGACGCCTTGGGGGCCACCTGGAGGGAGGCCAGGGCTGCCTGCCGGGCCAGGGGGGCCAGGGGGGCCAGGGCGCCCCATCTCTCCAGGAAGCCCGCGGGGCCCTGGCGGCCCCAAGAGGCCTGTGGGGGAGAAGAGGAGTCACATGAGGCCCGGGCCTGGCCGCTGACATCGCAGATGGGAGCAGGCCCATCCAAAGGACGGGTTGGGGGGCCAGAGTCAGTGGGGGCGTCTAGATCACTGTCTCCCCGGAGGGCTGTCCTGGGATGTGAGTGACACGGCTTCCCCTCCCCGGCCAGGGCAGAGGGCACAGCGGGGCGCTGGTGGGAGTGAGGGGGGGCCAGGAACCAGCGAGGCTCTGCTCAGACGCCGTCTGCCCCTCCAGGGGCCTCAGCTCTGGGGCAGGGGTCCCGAGGGTGGCGGTCAGCCCGGGCCAGCCCTGTGCCTGCCCTGACAGGACCCGTACCTCCCCTGCTCTCTGGAGGTGTCGTTAAAATGGCTGGGAACAACCGCCAGCCCCCCACGGCCTCACCCCATGCCAGCACCCACGGTCCCAGAGCCTTCTCTTCTCCCTGCAGCCCACAGTGAGCCCCGGCCCTAAGGCGCTTGGGATGGGGCAGCCATGGGGATGCTGGAGGGAGGAAGTGAGGCTGGAGCCCCCCAAGATGGCGGCCATTAACCCCAGCAAGATCCGGGGTACACAGGATGCCTGCTCAGATAGGGGAGAAACACCCCCCCCCCGACGGGACAAAGTCAGGTAGGGGGTCCTTACCCGGAGGCCCCGCTGGGCCCTTCTCTCCCGCCTGGCCCCGGTCACCTTTGGAGCCTGGGGGGCCTGCAGGCCCTGGTGGTCCCGTCTGCCCCGGGGGCCCTGGGGAGAGAATGAGGGGAGGCCTGAGGACACTGTGGGCCAAGCTGCCTCTGGTGGCTCCAGGCCTGACCACCTGGGCTGTCCGGCCAGACCTGCTCCAGGAACCGGGACCCCTGTCGGCTCGCTCGGTCATTACAGTTTACAAATCACTTTTGTACCTATTAACTTCCGTGATCTCAGGAGCTACTTTTGTCCCACTTGACAGGTGGGGAAACTGAGGCTCAGAGAGGTGTGGTCCGTTGCTCAGGCTCGCAGAGCCAGGCTGCAGGTGACTCAGGCTCCTCCCTCCACGACCTACCGTCTCCCTGCTCGGGGTCTGGAACTGGGCTTGTGGCGAAGAGCTCTCCAGTAAGGCCTCCTCGGAGCCCCGGGCTGCCCTGGAGGACACGCCTGCCCAGCGTCCCAGCCCCGGGGTCTGCAGGCCCCCAGGGTGGGCGGGAGTGGCGGGGGCCGGCCCCTCTCCCTCTGGAATGCCTAGAGAGGATGCCCAGGAAGCCTCGCTGAACCGAGGGAGGGACCTGTGCTGGCTCCGCGGGCCCCTCCTGCTCCCACCGCCTCACTGTGGTCCTGGAATAAGGGCTCGACCTTGGCCTTGACCCAGGCTGCTGTTTTCTGCTCTCAGGAGGTCCAGGCGCTGGGGTGTCACCATTTGTGGGGGTTGTGCCCCACCTGGTGGCCACTTCTTGGAACTGCACCTCCCGGGGGGGAGGCGGGGGCGGGAACCCAGAGCCTCTCCCAGCGTCCCACCAGCGGGTTTGGGGCCTGGGGCCTCAGGGACGGGAAGGCTCCTTCCTCCCCAGTTCCAGAGGAAGGATCTGAAGAACATGGGCATGGGGCAGCCCCTGGGGGTGAGATCTTGGGGACAGCGGCTAGAGAAGTGGGCCTGGGGGCCCAGGGAGAGATGCTCCCCACGCCCCCCAGCCCCCAGCCCCTTGGAAGAGTACAGAATATCTGCTCCTCCCCCAGTACCAGGACTGGCCTGTGGAGGGCAGCTCCCTCACAGCAGGGGGTCTCCCTCGTGCTCTGTTCCCTCTGCTGGCCGGGCTGGACAGGCACAGATAGGAAACAGGCAGAGGAGGCCGGGAGGGGCCGGGCACGTGCTCAGAGCTGAGACAGGGCCGGGGTGCTAAGATGCTGTGGGCTCGACTGGGAGCCAGGAGGGAAGGGAGGTGTTACCTGCAAAGGGCTCTCATGGGGCTGACAATCATGGAGAGAAAATGCCCCGGGATCCCTGGGTGACCCCCACTCTGAACCTCAGTTTTCTCCTCTGTAACCCCCAGCTTTAGTGGAATGATTAGAAATGAGATCCATACAGCCAGGGGTGACATAAAAGTATTTAATAACTGGCACAACATGGACACTGACAATGAAAAGGGACATCAGCCTTAACCCCGAGTTCAGTCATTCTGACAGGTGCCAGCTAAACGTCTGCCCAGGGTAAGCGCCTGGCACAAGGTAGGCCTTCAACAATCTTAACGACTATTATTACAATTATTATTACTATTCTACCATCCTAGAGGGAAAAGCCCAGGGGATAGAAGCTGCAGAGAGTAAACATTTACCCCGATTTTGCAATGTGGCCGGAAGGGAGAAAACAGGATGGCAGGTGTCCTCCGACTGTAGTCAGAGGTCAGCAAGGAACCCCCAGAAGGTGGTGGGAGGCAGTCACTCCCCGTAAGATGGAGCCGAGCAAGGTTGGGGCTGGGCTGGGGGCCTAAGTGTAGAGCTAAGGGGCAGCAGGGCAGACAACGAGGACAGTAGCTGAACTGGGAGGCAATAAGGAATGGTGAGGCCTGTGGCAAACTGCAGAGCTTGGACAGAATCTGTGGGGCAGCCGTAACTAGACTGCAGCGAATTGTTTCCATGAGGGACTGCCAGCCCCAATGGCCAGAACTTCCATTTTCCTAAGAGAAGCTAAAAAATCCTGATATTCATGTGAAAACCTCCAGTTTTTAAATGTTAGTTCAATTTTTCTAGATGCCACGTGGGCGTATTTGACCCAGAGGGCCTACCCTGCGACCTACTGGTGGAGGCCCTGGGAGGCCATGCCTGGGCCCTCCCCTGCAGGCCTCACTCACCGGCTGGGCCTGTGGGTCTTCTCCTTTGGGGCCCCGGGTGGGCGAGGGGGATGGCATCTGGGAGGAAATCCTCGTTCCAGGGCGGTGGGCTGCTCTGGGGCACCGGCAGGTCGTTGTCTGGGCCTGAGGGCCGTTCTGCAGCTTCCAGCAGGAGAACCTGGGCCGGAGAAGGGCAGAGGGTCAGGCCCGTCACATGTTCGCAGAGTCCCTGAACTTCTCTCCGGAGTGGCCGCCACTGGGATTGGAGACCTGTGGCCGTCGCGGAACGACCCTTGTCACCCCACTTCACTGGTCCTCCCAGGGCGGCGCTGGGGGCACTTGTCCCTGACATTGCTCGGCTCAGGGCACAAGCAAGGTGGTCAGGAAATGTCTGTGGACAGATGGAAGGAGGGAGGGAGGAAGGAAGGAAGGAAAGAAAGAAAAAAAGGGAGGAAGAAAGTGCCCAGCTTGGCGCATGATCTTTAGGGGAGCTCCAGGAAAACGGAAGGTGGTCGTGGTCACCCAGGGCCTGGAAGGCAGCCATGTCCTCTCCCCTTGAGGGACGCAGGGGCCAGAGACCAGGAAGGCCCCAGGGGACCGTGTCCCCGATTCAGGTGAACTGGGAGCCGGCGGGAGGCCCCCGCGAGTCCCTGCTGCCCCCGAAGAGGCCGCCAGGGGGCGCTGCAGGCCCGGGATCCGCGCGGGCGCCGGCAGGTGCGAGAGCCAGGGGCGCCCCCAACCCGGGCAGAGGGTGCCCGGGTCCCTGTCACGTGGAGCCCGGCTTCCTGCTCCCACCCCCTGTGTCCCTGGTCTCAGCCCCCCCGATCTGCCGACGGGGAGGAAGAAGTCGGGGTCTCGGGGTCCCACCCCACACCCCCCGCCTCGGGAGCCGGGCCCCTGCGTCCTGCTGGATTCCCGGAATCCGCCCCCACTTCGCGGAGGGTCAGGGCCCTGCATGTGGCCTCCCCCGGTGCCCCCGCGCTCAGGCCACAGCCGGTGCCCAGGCCTGCGGCAGCCCCCCCACCCCCGCCTGCCCCTCCCCCGCCTGCGGCAGGGGGCGTCAGCCCGCCCCGCCCCCTCCTGAGCCCCTGGAAGCGGCTGAGGCTCTGAGTGCCCCCTCCGCCTGGCCCTCTGCAGAAGGGGGCCACCCCCTTCTGTGTGTCCCTCAGCCCCTGCACCACCACTTTGTGCCACCAGCCCTGCCCTGGGGAGACGAGACCACGTCGGGGCGCGCGCCCTCCTTGCTGCTGGTCCCCAGAGCCCGGCTGGCGTTAAGTGCCACGTGGTGGGGAGGCTAGGGCCCTGGTGCGACACAGCCCAGTCTGGACCCTGGTTCTCCCCCAAGGTGGTCCCTGCGGGACCTGTGCGAGCGTCATGACCTCTGTGGGCCTCAGTTTCCCCCTCAGCAAAATGGGAGGAGCGTGCAGCCCACGCGCACCCTGGTTAGTCCGCCGCTGCTGGGGGGTCACGGGGACAGACGGCTGCCCGCACAGCCCCCGGGTCTGGGCTGCGCTGAGGATTCGCGGGTCCCTCTGGGCACCCCCGTCCCCCACTCTGCAGTGTCCCTGGGCCTGCGTGACAGAGTCTCCCAGGATCCTTGGGAACACGTGCCACCCCTGCACCAGGTCTCAGGGCCTCCATCTGTGTTGGCTGAGGGGGCTCCTGTGCTCTGGTGACGCCCAAGCCACGTCTCTGGGCCCCTCCCCTCTGGTCCTCACAAAGGCCCATGAGGCAGGAAGGGTCCCTGTGGCCACATCACAGGTGAGGCCAAAATAGAGGCTCAGAGACTGTAAGTGACTTGTCCAAGGTCACCCAGCAAGTAGGTGGTGGGGCATGGGCCCCATGAGATGCCTCGTCCACCTCGTCACAGCTTGGCCACCGCTTTGTCCTCAGCAGAGCTTCTCGGAGGCACAGAGAAGGGGAGCAGCTGGCTCAGATCACACAGCAGCTTGGGGTGGAACCCTGTCTCCTGACCCCGGGAACCCCCACAAAGAGGAGAGGGTGTCCCTTCCTGCCCCAACCGCCCAGTGTCCACTGGAAGCTGACCAGCCTCGCCAAGGTTGGGGGCTTCCGGGCAGCGGAGGAGTTGGCGAGGGGGGCAAGGAGACTCGGCTGCAGGTGATGGGGGACGCCAGGCAGTGGGCGTGGGGACGGGGTGAGAACCGTCGGGACTGGTGCCCGGGGCTGGGGGACAGGAGGGCGGGTGAAGGCAGGAGCGGCTCCCCCGTTTCTGGCCTGGCTCTGGGGACGGTGGGATTGCTGCCAGTCAAACTGGGGCACAAGAGAGGGCAGGTGTGGGGTGACAGTGACCAGTGTGGGGTCGCGTTGAGTTGCAGTGTCTTGGGGGACCTCCAGATGGACATACCTAACAGGGAGTAGCAGGGGTGGGGCAGTTTGGAGGGGGAGGGGCCCCCGCCGGGGCTCCCGGGGTTGACCCCCAGTGTTCGTTCCTGGCAGGGCTCAAGAACCCCCATAGGGGACCTACCACCTGCAGCCCGGCCCCTGCACCAAAGGCCTGGCTCACTCCTTCCTGGACCACCTCCCATGCAGACACCAAGGTCCACAGAGCCCACGGCCCCAGGCAGAGGGGCGCTGGCCACGGCTAAGTTAGCCTCAGGCCCCGCCGGAGTCCAAGCCCCCTGGCCAGGCCGTGGCCAAGGTCCCGGAGCGACAGGCCCCACCCTGGCGGCATGAGCTCACCAGGCCGGGCAGCAGTGGGCGTGAGGACTCAGCCCAAGAAAACCAGACATGGCCGGCCTTCGAGGGCAGTGGCCCCAGTGATGTCATCGTGGCCTGGCTGATTGGCCGGAATGCTGCCCCCCTGCACCAGAGACCAGCCGAACTCAGTGGCTCCTGTGACCCTCACGTGGGGGAACTGCCTGCGTGTGGTCCCTGAAGGCAGCGTGTAAACTGAGGGGGGAGAGAGGAAGGAAGGCAGGATGCTTTCCCCAGCTGGCCTCCCACCCCACTGCCCCCAGCAGCCGGGCCCGCCTGTCCTAGGGAAAGAGGGGGGCAGGAACGCTACATCAGCTCCTAAGTCTGGGTCCTATGGCAACTCGGGCACCCGTGGGGAGTGAAGATGGAGCAGACCCTGATGGTTGCCTGGTCACCAACTGCCCCTCTCCCCTGGCTCCAGAACCCCCTCTTGTATGTCTGTGGGTGTACCCCAGAGGAGGAATCCTGATTGGCCAGGTACTCATTTTCCCAGCTCCCTTGCAACTACGAGGTGGGCATATAGCCCAGTGCTGGCCAATGAGTCTGCTGGGGTGTTTTCCCTCACTCTAGTTCCTGCCTTTGAGGAAGTGTGAGGATGTGATGCCTTGAGCTGCAGCAGCCACTTTGTAACCATGAGGCACTGACCATGAGGACAAAAGCCAATTCACTAAGGAGCTGGAGGGGAAGGCTCCTGAATAACTTGGGTTCTTGAGTCACCAAACCAATCCAAAGACCACCTACTCCTGGACTCTTTGTTAAACAAACAATAAGTGTCCTTAAGGAATACACTGTCATTAGCTAGGTTTCTGTTACTTGCAGCTGAATGCCTCCTTCCTGACAAACCAAAACAGGCTTCTTGTCTGAGGGAGCAGAAGGCTGTTTCCAGGCCTCTGTGTTGCTGCTCTCTCATGCCAGCTGCCTCGTTTCTGGCTCCCCGTCTGGGTTCTCCCTGCCTGGCTCTGCTGTCACCCTCCTGATCCAGCCTCTGGCCTGGCTGACCCCAGCTCCACCTTCTCTCTGACCCCTGCAGGCTCGCCTGGCCTTGGCGCAGCCCCAGGGCTGCTGGGCTGTCCTGACCACCAGCCTGGCTTGTGTCCCCTCCCTCTCCAGGCCGCTGCCTCTCAGTGCCCTCTGACCCAGGCCAGCAAAACTCCCAGTGGCCCTGTATCCTCGGGGGACAAGGACATGGAGCAGGCAGCTGGAAGGTGGCCCAGGCAAGACACGGGAGCTGAGCCAGGAGCCTGCCAGCCCTCCCTGGAATCCAGAAGGAGGGTAGGCTGCTGAGAGGGGCTCCCCACAGGAGGGGCAGGCAGCCACCTCCCCAGACTCAAGCTGCGCCCGCTACTCCCCACCCAAGAGCGCCCTGAGCTGGCCCTTGTGCACGAGCCTCGGAAGGACCCAGCAAGGGGCAGGGAAGTGACGTCTTCCGTGTCCATTTTACAGGGCAGCAGAATGAGGCCGAGCTGAGAAGGGAGCTGCCAAGCCAGGGCTATTTATTGCCAGGCCGGGCATCCTCGTTCTGCTTCCTCCAGCACATCCTGCTGTCCCTCCCTCCCTCCCCTGATGTCCACAGAGGGGTCACAACCCTCACCCTCAGCCACCAAGGTGCCACCGAGCCAGCCCTGCGCCCAGCTGCGATGCCGGGGCTGAGCCGGCGGGAGTGTCAGGGCCGAGAGGACCAGGGGCTGGGATGGCTCATGGCAGGAGGGCACAGGCACAGGCCAGGTGGGCGGGGACAGCTGGCGTTAACAGTGGGGGAGCTGTGACTTGACACCCCGAGGCGCTGGGTGGGGCCAGGGCTGGCTGTCGGGGCTGCTCTGCCAAACCACACAGCCGCTTTGGGGGCCTAGGAAATGTCTGGCTGGCTGGCCCGGGGATCCCCCTTTCCTAAACTCTTAGGTGCCAGAAGCTCACCCCAGCACCCTCCCTGCACCCACTCCCGTCCCAGGGCTGCCCCAGCCCTGGCTTGGCCCACGTGGCAGCATCTGCTCCCTTCCGCCCCCACCCCCAGGGAGCCACTACCCCAAGGAGGGCCCAGGTCCTCCACCCCCGGCCCGTGCCCAGGACCCCCAGCCAGCAGCAGGGGTCCAGGACGGGGAGGCCATTCACACCCTGGGGCTCCTCGTGCCATGCGCTCCACACGGACGCCTCCCACACACTTGTGTCTTCAGCTGTAAGATGGGGACAGCGACATGGCGTAGATGGTAACACGGACCCTCACACTTGTCGGGCACTGGACCTCTTCCAAAGCCGGGTCCCACCACCATGTCTCCTGCGGCCCCCAGCTGCCCTGCGAGGCTGGTCCTCTTGTCAACTCCACGGGGGAGGAGCTGGGAGCTTGGCGAGAGCCACCAGCTGGTAGAGGGTGGTCCCGTGTGCATCTGACCCCAAGCGACAGGCACCTGCAGCCTCCATCTGACCAGGTGAGTGCCCTCAGAGTCCAGCTTTCAGGGCAGGAGGCAGGGCCAAGGGGCGAGGTAGGGTTGGCAAGGGCTGCGTGTATGTCTGTGTATGTGTCTCTGTGCTGTGTGTGTCTGTGTGTGTGTTTGTGTCTCTGTGCAGTGTGTGTCTGTGTGTGTGTGTCTATGTGGTGTGAGTGTGTCTGCAGAGGACACCTGCCTGCCCGGCTCCCCTAGGCAGGCTGCCTGCTAACACCCTGCGCCTGGCCCAGCCCTCCCTTCCCTGGCTTGCTTCCTGTCTCCTGGCCCAATGCTGCCTGGGACCACTGCCAAATAAATGACTTGTCCTTTATCCCAGTCCTTTTCCCTCTGGGGTGACCCGTCCCTCCCACCGATGTCCAGGGGCCAAGAGCTGCCTGGCGCCCAAGGCTCCTACTCCACCAGCAACTCAGTGCGCAGCTCCGCACCAGACAGAGGGAGGAGAAGCCGGAGCTGGGGGTGGCGGCCCTGGGGGGCAGTGACTCCGCGCTCTTTCCTCCAAGGGGTTGACTTCTGGGCGTCCAGCCTCCCCGTCCCCGAGTCCTGCACCCAGACCAGCCTGCTTCCTGGAGCCTCCAGACTTCTCCCCTCTCCCCTCCCCCACCCAGGAGGCTGGCCCAGCCCAGAGAAGGCCACTCAGCCCCCGAGGCCCCCGGCAGCACCCAGCCCCGGGCCCAGGCTGCTCAGGCCTGCTGGGCTCCCTGGGGTTGGCGCTTCCCCAGCCACACCCTGTGGGCGCCCGCTGCAGCCTCCCCGGCCAGCTCCCCAGGCCGTCTGACCTTGGCCTCCAGCGTGGTCAGCCGCTCACTCATGTCGCTGAGCCGGGTACAGTTCATGCATTCTGAAAGAGAAGAGGCGCCCAGTGAGGGTGGGGTGTAGACCCTGGGGAGAGAGCAGCTCAGCCACCAGGACGGCCTCTGGGTAGACACGCAGGGAAATCTCTGCGGATGTGCCTGGAAAACTCCTACCCATCCTTCAGGGCCTTATCCTCAGCGCAGCCCGCCGGACCTCCGAGTCTCCTTTCTGAGTACCCACAGCACATTGCACCATCTTTTTTCCAGCAAAGTTCTGAGCTGGTGCCGGGCCGCTGCCTGGGCTGTCTCGTCAGTCTATGAGCGTCCCGAGGGCAGGGTCTTGTCTATTTTGTTTGCCCACGAATCTCAGTGTGTGGCCCAAAGTAGAGGCTCAAAAAAGTTCTGAGAGTTGAGGAATGGATGGTCAATGAGCTGCGCTCCCTGCCTTTGGGAACTGTGGTCTGGGAAAGGAGCCGGGTGAATAGACTCAGGCCGGGAAGGGCTGTGCTGGGGCTGTAAGAACAGGACCTGCAGGTGAGCATCACGGGGACGCCCAGGCCAGTCTGCAGTGGGGGAGGGGCTGGTCAGGGAGGACAGCCTGGAGGCAGCGGCATCTAGGGTGAGGCCCGGGAGAGGCACAGTGAATGGTCAGGTTCAGCAGAGGGGAACAGAACAGGGGTCCACCAGCAGCCTGGCTGAATCAGAGGGCCCCTGCAGGCCCCCCGAGGTTGAACAGGGGGCCCCTAACACAGGAGGCCCGGAGGAAGGAGCTGGGCAGGGTCCTGAGGCCAGGGGGCAGCTGTTGGCAGGGGTGGAAGTCAAGGTTGCATTTGGGTTTTTTAAAGCTCATTCTGGCAGCAAAGTGTACGGAGGGCGGGAGTGGGAGGGACTGGCAGCCGGAGGGCCAATTAGGAGCGCGGTAATCGTCGACCCCCCGGGCACGCCTCTCCCTGGGCTGTAATTATCTCTTTCTGTCTGTCTGCCCCGGAGACCCGGAGCTCTTTAATGAGGAAATAGATGGTTCAAAGCTGTTCCAAAGAGCTTTTATTGCTCTGGAAGTCAAGGGACGCCGAAATGCCTCTGTCAGTTCAAAGGCTGACCCCACAGGAACCTCATTCTGGTTAAACAGACACACAGACACCCGACAGAGATCAGGTCCCCCTGCGTGTGCTGGGCTGACCATGGCAGCGAGGCCCGCATGCCCCCGTCCTTGGCAAGGTCCCCCATCTCCATCACTGGATGCGAGTCACCTCGCCAACGTCCCTATCCTGAAATGGCGATTGCTCTGTGAGAGAGGGGGAGTGCCGGGGTTTCAGGACCACGGCGCTAGATGGTTCCTGCCGTGTCCTCCCCAGGGCTGCCCACCGGCCTCGGGGCCAGGGGGGCTGACCCCCGCGGCTTTCTGCTCAGCAGCCCCAGGGGGCTTTGCAGGGCCTACTGCGGGGCCGGCAGACGCCCAGCTCCCCGTCTCCCTCCTCTGCTTCCCTGGGCTGGGCTCAGTCAGTGGTTTATTAGCATTTTTTTAGGACCAGAACTCTTCCTCCTCTTCCTCCCCTCTCGTAAAAGCTTCTCAGTAACCCCGACACATAAAACAGATTAAAGCCTAAGGTATAAACACTAAAGTTTTAAAGAACAGAAGAATGTACACAGTCGTCTGACTCTCTGACGACTTCACAGGGGACCCGCGAGGCGGGGGTGGTGTTCTGGTTAAACACGGGGAGATTGAACACACATGTCTCCTTCTGGTCGCTCCAGGAGAGGGAGGGTAGAGGAAGAAAGAGGTACCACCACAAAGCAGAGACGGACTGGGGGGCTTCTCAGGGGACCAGCGCTGCCAGGAAGTGACAGGCAGCCAGGCCAGTCCCGGCCTCGCCAACACCCACGGAGGCCACCAGAGCCTCCAGGCTCCCCTGAGGCTGGGACAGCCCAGGTGGGTGGGGCGAGGGGTCCTCTCTGAGCAAAGGGACCTGCCCAAGGGAAAGGCCCACAGGCACTGACAGCTGGGGAGGCCCCGTGCCGACAAGGCCACACCACATGGAAAGAGCCCCAGGGGCTCCACGGGCCCTCTGAAACAGACAGCCCAGGACTCCCCGGCCTTTGAAAGAAGCCTGTAATGAGAAAGACGGAGACCAAAACAGGGTTCCGTGTGTCCATCCACCCACCCTGCCCTCCACCTATCTACCAGCTCTGCACCCCACTCACCCACCCACCATACCCACCCCCGCCCATCCCCTCACCCCCCTGGAGCTCGGCGGCTTCCCTGTGCCCCTTGGTGACCCTGTGCCAACACTGATGGGGTGGGCGGCAGGGCAGTATGCACGGGGGGCCTGCCTCGGAGCAAAGGCCCATGGACCGTCCCCCGCAGCCGTGTCTGAGGGGGAACAGGCGCCGACTCCGGAGGAGGACGGGCTGGAGGACTTTGAAAGAGCTACATTCCTGCTGGAGCCCCAGCTGCCTGGTCCGCACTCTGCATGGGAGAGGGCATCCCCCGCACCCCGGGGCCGGCAGGAAGAGCAGGAGCCGGAGGAACAGGATGGACGCGGGTGACTGTGAATCAGAGCCCCAGCCCTGCCCAGAGAACATTCTAGAAGCGTTTAGGGGCCATGACCAGAGCGTTTCCAGGCTCTCAGGCCACAAATAGGACTCTCTGCAGGGGAGAAGGTCAGCAGAGGGAGGGGCGGGACCTATTTCTGGAAAGTGTGCTGGGCCTGCTTCCAGTTTGCCCTGGCACTGGGCTCCCTGCTTGGCAGTTGAGCGGCGGCTTGGCCGTCGGCAGGCACAGGGGGTCCAGCTCCCTGGCTGCGGAGAGGCCCAGCCAGCGGGCACCTGGCCGCAGGCGTTGACACTGGCTGGCCCCGCGGCTCCCCTGGCATCCTGTCATCACTGAAGCCTGTTTGTTTCACTTTCTCGAATTACCCATCGGCGCAGTGGATGCACGGAAACGGCACAGGTGGCACTGGGCCTGGCTCTGGGGCGGACGAGCTCCGGGCCTTGGTTTCCCCTGAAGGCAGTGCTCTCACTTCCTGGGATTCTGAGGGTCCCCATGTTCCCAGCGCACACAGGCCCGTGAGCCCCGGGCCACAGGACACGTCCCGGTGGCTAGGACACAGGTGCAGAAACCCCTGTCGGCAAATCTTTGCCAGAACAGCATGTGCGTCTCGGAAGTGTGGATGTGCCAGGCAAACCAGCATGTGTGTGTGCGCGCGTGTGTGTAAGAGAGAAACAGAACCAGACTGCTTGGTGCACTCAGTGGAAAGAACTCTGGAGGCCACTAACTCCCTGTGCGGCCTATGAGACCCTCTTCTCTGTGCCTTGGTTTGACCCTCTGTAAAAGGGGTTCACGCCAGATCAGCTCCCAGGGCCTCCGGCTCCTGGACCCTGCTCCTGCCACCTGTGCCCTCACCCTCGGGCCTTGCTGCCGGGCTCTGTCCACTGCAGGACAGTCGTTGCCAGTCCGCCTGCCATTCACCTTTGGCCAGCACTGTGCTGGTGATGGCTCGGCACCCAGAATTCAGGACCCGCCGCCTGAATGGGGCCAGACTCCTGAGGCCTGGGCTCTGAGATTGGCTTCACCCATAAGGCTATTGCAGCGAAACCTAAACTAAAAGGGCAGAGTGAGTCCACTGTAGGCTCGGGCCACGAGACCCCGACAGGGGGAGCCAGGGCACAAAGGTGGTCCTGTCCCCAGAGGCCCAGCTCCCTCCATGAGAGGTCTCAGAGACGGCCGTGCAGGCAGGGACATGCGCGGGGCAGTGTCACCAGTGGGGCCCGGCTGGAGGAGATCCCTCGATCCTCCTGGAGACCTCTGACCCTAGCCAAGACTCCTCGGCCCTGTTAGGAGGACACAGCTCCACTGGAATGGCCGTGAGTACTCACAGGGGACCACAGGAACAAGGAGATCCTGAGTGGACTCGGTTTCCCCAATATGACAAGAGTGGGGCTGGGCCCTGCACAAATACATCTGGCACCTTTCTGTCCTTGACACAGGTCAGCCTTGGGCCACACATTCTTTCAGTGCCTCCCTCACCCACTGGGACCCTGGGGGTCACTCAGCACCTCACCCCACTGGAGAGATTGGTCATCTCCCCCTCTGTCAGAACCCTGAGCAGCTCCCACGTGCTCAGGAGAGAGTCCTTGTCTTGGCTGGGCACACTGCCCCAGATGGGGGCTCTCTTTTCTCTTCTCTCTCAATACCACGCCCCCAGCCAGGACACACTTCTCCAGCTAGGACACACCCTCCAACTAGGACACACCTCCTCCAGACAGGACACACCCCTCCAGCCAGTACACACTCCCCTCAGCCAGGACACACCCCTCCAGCCAGGACACACCCCCAGCCAGGACACACCCCTCCAGCCAGGACACACCCCTCAGCCAGGACACACCCCCAGCCAGGACACACCCCTCCAGCCAGGACACACCCCCAGCCAGGACACACCCCCAGCCAGGACACACCCCTCCAGCCAGGACACACCCCTCCAGCCAGTACACACTCCCCTCAGCCAGGACACATCCCTCCAGCCAGGACACACCCCGAGCCAGGACACACCCCCAGCCAGGACACACCCCTACAGCCAGGACACACCCCTACAGCCAGGACACACTACCTGAGCTTTCCCCAGTGCCCAGAGGCTCCCTCCAGTCTCTAAGACAGAGGTATTCTTCTGAGGAAAGAGGATTTCCTGGCTAAGACTCTGTACCCAGCTCAACTATCCACCAAGGTCTGAGGGTAGAATGAAGGCATCTTAGACAGGCATGGCCTCAAAACACTTATACTCATGTGCCCCCCCTCAGGAAGATGTTAAAGGATGTACTCCACCAAAACAAAGGAGTAAACTAGAGAAAGGAGGACAGGAAACAGGGACACACAGAGGCAAGAAGTTCCACATGGGAGAGAGACAAAGGGGTATCCTGAGTAGGGAACTAAAGGAATGCCACGCGAGGACAGGAGGCCTGGAGGACAACCTGACCACGTTAGACCAGGAGACAGAGCGTTCTAGAAAAGAGAGAGCCTCTGAGGGTGGGAATGTCAGGAAGGGAGAATCAA